AGCTGTAAAACTGCTCTATCAATTTCTTTTTACCAACGAAACTATTCGGTGTAAATTAGAGGAGATCGACTTATTTTGTTCGGTTTATTCTACTGATACTCTTAACGATAGTGTCATACAGATTTTATATTTTTATGATAAAAAAAAACTGCGCAACGATAAAAATTACATTATATAAAAATTACAGAATAGAGCCTCGGGATTTGCTAAGCAAATTCCAGCTAAACTGTCATTTGAATTTTGAGTAGCAAAAATATATCTTATGAGTTCCCAATTTATATTTTAAATGATATCTTACATATATGTGTCTTCTTTATCAACAAAGTTTGATTAATTTAGATGTCGCGTTATATTCACGATGCAAAATAAGATGTAACTACTGACGAGTATAACATTATTAAAAACCGATATCCTTACGGGAATTTGCAGTCCTTATTAAGATTGAAGATTGACTAAAAGTAAAAACTGATATTATTGTACTAATTTTATGATTTATTAGTTTTGTAGACGTGTTAATCGGTGTATATGCATTTAAAAATCAATAATACTCAATTTTTCTTTAAAATTGTGATTTTTAGTGTTTGATTCATCAATCAAATCAAGGTTTGATTATCAATAGAGGGATGATAACTGCAGAGAAAAAAATTGTAATTTTTTGGTAATATATACTCAGCAAACGAAAATGGATTGAAATGAATTGAAATGGATTCAGATTTTCAGAAATATTGATTCACGAATGTTAAAAATGAATGTTTTTCAATCCTGAATGCATTTTTATTCATTTATTTAGGAATTGCATGGAGCATATCTATGCCTTTCAATCTAAAAATAATATTAGCTTTTCTATACACACACAACACATTGTGAATACTGTTCAATTCAAAATTTTGAATAGGAAATGTAGTTTTTCAATCCAATTGCATCTAGTTGAATCTAATTGAATCCAATTGGATCCAATTAAATCCAAAAAAAAATTTTCGCTATTGCGAAAATTAAAATATGCATTTGGATTGAAAAAATTTTAATCCATTTTAATTCATTCTCGTTTATTGGATAACTTTACAAGTATGTATATTTATTTTTGAAACATATTATAGCTTTACAAGTATGCATATTTATTTATGGAGCATTTATGTAATAAAAAAATCATGAATTTAATAATGTATTAATCAATTTATATTAATAATAGCAAATTGATTGATCAATTGTCGATAATGTCTGTGTTCTTCAATTATCTCTTGGGGTCCTTTTTATATCAAAAATTTACCCAGGATTGACAGTTTTTAATATAGTATCTCGTCGGATACTATGATTCATCATTCTATAAAACGATAATAATCATTTAACTAAAATCGTTTTTTTTTTTAATTGAAAATTACAATTGAAAAAAAAGTGTTCATACTTAGCTCCGGTCTTCTCTACCTATTAGATTTGATTAAATTATGAGGTTTATATATTTTTAACATGATGCGAAGTATTCTAAAAGCGCGATATAATCGTAAGGAACAAAACCAATCCTTATCTCTTTACAAGAATCTATCACATAAAAAAATATATTTTTACAATATTGGTATGTCTAAAAATATACACTTTTATTCATTAAAACTTTATACATTTGTTACTAACAAATTATAGACAATAGCATATGTTACCAACATGTTAATCTTGAAATAAATTATATTACATAATTATATTTAAAGTACACAGAAAGACTCGATGAACGACTAACTTGCATCAGTTAACAATAACATTTCTAATACGATAGTACTAGATTCGCATACAGTGAAACATTTGTATCTTCAATGTCAATTGCGCGTTATAGTAAATCTAATATATTTTAGAATTTCTATTGTCTTTTCGGAGAATATCGAACAAAAAAAGATGTGATATCAAACAAATATTCTAATTACATAACAAAAAAAACGCTCTTTTTTACATAAACTATTGAAATTAAGATTTTCAAAGTATCCAATATTTGTTTGAACATTGACATTTGAAAAGAATAATACAATTATGCGAAATATTTTATTAATTAGCATTTACTTTGTATTTCACAAGGACGATATTAACGGACGATAATACGCGTAAATAATTAGACGTAAAATTATGATTATAGCTACGCAAATGTTAGTACATTAATAAACAAAGTTATTACAAAGTCCTAGATTTACACATTATTTCGCTTACATGCTACGCGATCTATTGTTACACGGTATATTATTTGATTACAAATGTCTTGTCTATGAAATTATTTGTATTTCATAATAAACGTATAGGACATATAAGATACTTTTATTTAAAATAAAATATTCATCAGACTGCAAACATTAAGATAAAAATAAAATTGGTGATTTTTAATCTTCTCTTCTGGAAATATTTTTAAGAATTGAAAAAATACTGCGTTTTCACTATACATTTGGCATTAAATGTGACTATCTCATTTTGAATCATTTGATATATGCACAATATAAAAGTGATTCAACTTAGAAAAATCACATTTAGCATTAATGTGTGACAAAGTATGCACAATTAAAAAATAAAAGAAGAGAAGACTATTAAGTATACATAAAATATATACAAAATTATTGCCAGTTTTTAGAATTACGTATTTTCTCATTATATCTATCTCATTATATTCTGTAAGCACAAATTGTAATGATATTAAAAATTATTTTGATTAGAAAGAATAAAAATTAGTGAAAAATGCATGATCTTTTATAAAATGCGCTAAGTTTGCTGCTAGCTGTCACATTAAAACACTGGCCTTACATTTATGTACGACACAATTATTAGGGAAAAAGTATGCATATTTATCACGTTTATCGCTATTTTTTTATTCGTATGACAATAAATCGGACATAAACAGTAAATCTGTAAATCTTACATTTGCAGTTCAATTCTACCTCAAGTAATTTCTTTTAATTACATAATTACTCTTTATGGCACGTAGTTTCTCAGCACTTTACTGATTATCTTGTATGATACATCTCGTATTTATTATTGGCATAATGGATGTCTTTTCAATTAATCCTTTGCACTATTTTTGCTAAAATTAATTTCAAAACATCAGGATTCACGCTAAAGTGCATGAGTTTCCAAGTGATCTGTATAAATATGACATAAATATATATGGAGCAACCTTATTATTTAAATTTCGGCGCACATTTATATTGATACATAAAAAATATCGATATTTGTATTCTAAGATACTAAATAAATTACATATAGAAAATTAGAAAACAAATTAAACGCAAATCGATAAGAATCAGAGAAACAACATACAAAGTTTCTAAAAAAATTGTGACTATAAGTTTTAATATCTTACATATATATTCGCATTTCAGACAAAGATATTTCTCCATCTGAAGGATAAAACTTCTCAGTAAAACCATTAATTTTTCTAGATGTACAGTGTATGTATTTTATAAGTTATGAAGTACGTATCACTTAAAGAAATGCATCAACACATACGTGACATAAAGTTAATTATATTTTCTCCTTTTAGACTTATAGATATTCGCTTTTTATGGATCATTTATTGAGGTTAAATTGAATTGAAGACTGGAAATGAAAATGGAGCCAAATGTCAAAAAAGAGCTAGAAAAATAATTTAAAAAATTGATATTATATGTAAAAATATTCATTTTAAGATTATTGTTACAACACTTAGTCTTGTTTGTTTTCGAAATCTGCTCGAATCAATTATCTTAGAAAGGACATTATCTCAAAGTTCTTGGTATAACATTCATACAATCTTGATTTAATGTAATATACAATCGCTTTTTTATTAAATGCTACAATCATTCCTCGCCTTCACAAAGAAACTTCGCACGAAGAAATCTTTTTAAAATAAAATGTTTCTCTTAAGCTGAATAATACACAATTACTGATTACTGTTCGCGTTAAGTCGCGAACATTTTAATTCGTATCATCCCTGGATGAGAGCATGATGTTCGTCACGGACTGTGGTTGGCCAGAACCTGGTTTCCAGCGATTCTGCTCTTTGTCAGACCTGAAGATCCAGTGTTCGAACTTCTTGTTCTCTGACTGTTTGATTTCCGATCCTGGATGCGCATCCAAGATCTGGGCTCCCTTGCCCGCTGCGGACTTGTATTCGGATACATAGACAATCTGCTTGTCCATTCGATCTTCCTTTGGGCTTCTCGTGATATCTGATCGCCTTGGCGGTACCGGTGGTTTCTTGCCGGACGTAGGCTTGCCGTTCGACGTCACCTTGATCTCG